GCTGGGATTTTTGCTGATTTTGAGTTAAATTAATCAAGTAGTAAATTGCTTTGGCTAATAATAAAGTAATCAACTAGTCGTTGGTTAAGGTGGTAAACTGTCCTTGTTATTTTGTCGGCTTTCAATTTCAAAATGGCTGCAGGAAACAAAGCAAAGCACCCAGCTTTTGGGAATTGATAAATGGGGCCTACTGATTAGAGGAGGAGCCTAAATTGAAATTAGGGTTTGAGCGAGTGGATCTAGACAAACGCCTTGGGCTTTGGCCTTGCGTGGCCGGGGACGTGACGCTGTCGGCTGTCGGCTGTGTATCGTTCACACGTTCTCTTGTCCTTTTCGCGCTCCACTTTTCTCCACCATTTCCTCCCTATGGGCTACAAGCCTACAACTAGACTTCCCATATCAACATTTGGCTATGGCACTAATATGCTGATGGCACTTCCAAACCTTAATAGCATCCACAATCATGCTCTCTATTTTTTAGTTAAATTTTAATTCGAACATATAAAAATTATTTTAGGAGCTCTCTATAAAAACTTAAACTTCAATCATGCTCTTTAATTTAGAGAGTCATAAATGTTAGAACTCTTTTTTAATTGGTTCATCTCTATTAAAAATAATATAAAAAATAACTAACAATAATTAAATGTATGAAATACTCATTAAATAAAGCAGCATTAAATTATAGGGAACCACTATGAGTTCTTTCTCTCTCCTCATATTTAGGAGTTCCTAAAGATCTTCCTATTTTAGAAGGTGGATAAGGAGCATGGTTGGAGTTGTATTTTTTCCAAATCCTCCCTAAAATTTGTCTAAGGAGGTGATTTAGAGAGCTCATTGTGGATGCTCTAAACCCTATGAGTTATGATAACGACAGTCACCTAAGTCTAAGAGGTTGGTTTAGCTGTAAGGCGCTAAGTGGTTGCCTCAGCTGTACACCGTTGAGTATTGTGAGAGCCACCTACATCCGCCACCCACTTTCCAATGGATCTTTTTACTTTTGAGTTACACCTCCTGTCATAGACTGATGTCAATGCAGAACTCTTAAGTAACATTGAGATGAGAGAGTAGTAGGTAGATGCAATTTTCAAATTATGTTGTACGTAAAAAGAGAGTAAAACGAGGCATAAACATTCGAATCCAACAGAGAATTTGAATAAAATACCAAACATACAAAACCCAAGAGTGGTGGTTTCAGGCTGGACCTAGGTAGCCTTAAAAAAGTCGAAGATTGCGTGTTATTTGATACCCCAAACCATACGTATAAACAACTAGCAACTAGCAAGTTTATTAAATTATGCCCGAAGATGGTACAAATTCTAACTTCAAAAAATTTAAACCCATCTAATTCCAGGATACAAAACCCAAGAATCACTCCCTGTGCAAAGTGCCAAAAAAGACCGTTCTATCTCCTCTCAAATATATAAAGAGAGCCTTCTTTCCAAGGAAAAAACATAGATATATTTTTAAACTGAGGTGCAACCTCCAACATTCATGCCAAACTAGGCTTACGAAATAACAATGATACAGACCTTACCCTCACTAGCTACCGTACAACTGAGAACTTCCAAGTTTAAATTTATAGAAAATAAACTAAAAAAACAAATAGAAATCAAACACAAAGTCTCATAAACCATGATTGGCTACTTAATAAACTTCCGAATTTATCACTTTGAAAAAATTGCCCTGACCAACTGGCCTAACTAATAAATTTCAAATTTATTCTATTTTTCTAACTAAAGTGGTTGATATGACTATAATAAATGTCTTTTAGGAATTCAATCATGAATCGGGAAAGTTTGGAATAAAGGAAAGAATGAATAGGTATGACTCATGAGATGAATTGTTCTCTAATTAATCTAATTCCTGATTTTCATGCATTGAATTATGAATTTTAATCTTGGAACTAATTTGATATTTTATTCCGTTTGTGCTAGTAAACACATGAGAAATCAATAATCAAAATAATTATAATTCCAAAAACATAGTGGAAGTTAGGAATCAAAATGATTACAATGCCAAAAACATGCAACAAAAAATAAGAATAGACAAGACAAGGAGATTGGTTCAGTCACTGAGGTATAGACATAAATGGTTGTATTTTTACTATAAAAAGAAGCAAAAATACACCAGTTTTACATGATACACCATAAGACAAGAAGATTAGTCCAAAGTCATTTAGGCTAACATTAAATTGTTATGTGTGTATTATAAGAAGAAGAAAAATTACATGAGTTTTACCTGATTCACCATAAAATAAGTCTTCCAAATCCATCTCACGATGGTTTAAAGTTACTATTTAACAAATTCCGAATTCATTTAGGTGGAAGGATTTTAAAGGAATAATTTAATTGACAATAAAGCTAGATTAATTTAGTAAACTATAAAACATATGATATACTCATGTATGGTGAATCATGATGGCTTGAGAATTTGGATATGTGTTCCTTTAATTTTATTTTATTTAGCATAGTTACTTTTATATTCTAAACTTTGTTGTAAATAGTTTATGTATGCAGTTGTCTTTCAGTTCTTTTTTTTTTTTTGGGGTGTGGGGATTATATTTTTTTCGGGGTTTTTTAGCAATGTCCCCTCAACTATACATAGACTCTATTCTACTTTGCCCTCACAACTTTTAATTTGGTTTTGAGCCCCCTTAATATTTCAATTTAGGTTGTTCCTTCGTCAAATTCAGGAGTATTTCTGTCCCTTCAAGTTAGGATTTGGTTTACCCCACTTAAACCCTAATTGACTCAGCCCATTCTATCTTCAAATTGTATTTTTAATGGACTAAAAAAAATGAAAATGAGATTTGAAAGGAAGAATGGGCCGAGTTAATTAGGGTTTAAGTGGATCAAAATAAATCCTAACTTGAATGGATAAAAAAGCCCTTGAGTTTGACGACGAAAGGGGGCACATTTGAAAGATTAGAGGAATTGTTCAAAAGGCAAAGTCGAACAAGGTTTATAATCTAGGGTGCATCACTAAAATTTTCTCTATTTTCTTAATAATATATTATATGTACCGGCTTAAAAAATAATAAAATTATTTTTATTGACATTTCTGATGGACTGTCAAATGGACACTTAACCCATCAACTTCAAATTTACCATTTTACATTTGACATTTGCCAAATGATGGCACCCAGTTGACTATGAGGGCTGATCATTGCTCAAAAGGAAAAAAAAACAGTTCGTGGTATTATTTCTCTCTGACTTTTTCGGTTATGGCTGGGGTTTTTGCTGATTTTGAGTTAAATTAATCAAGTAGTAAATTGCTTTGGCTAATAATAAAGTAATCAACTAGTCGTTGGTTAAGGTGGTAAACTGTCCTTGTTATTTTGTCGGCTTTCAATTTCAAAATGGCTGCAGGAAACAAAGCAAAGCACCCAGCTTTTGGGAATTGATAAATGGGGCCTACTGATTAGAGGAGGAGCCTAAATTGAAATTAGGGTTTGAGCGAGTGGATCTAGACAAACGCCTTGGGCTTTGGCCTTGCGTGGCCGGGGACGTGACGCTGTCGGCTGTCGGCTGTGTATCGTTCACACGTTCTCTTGTCCTTTTCGCGCTCCACTTTTCTCCACCATTTCCTCCATATCGGCTACAACTAGACTTCCCATATCAGCATTTGGCTATGGCACTGATGCTGATGGCACTTCCAAACCTTAATAGCATCCACAATCATACTCTCTATTTTTTAGTTAAATTTTAACTCAAAACATATAAAAGTTATTTCAGGAGCTCTCTATAAAACTTAAACTTCAATCATGCTCTCTAATTTAGAGAGTCATAAATGTTAGAACTCTTTTTTAATTGGTTCATCTCTATTAAAAATAATATAAAAAATAACTAACAATAATTAAATGTATGAAATACTCATTAAATAAAGCAGCATTAAATTATAGGGAACCACTATGAGTTCTTTCTCTCTCCTCATATTTAGGAGTTCCTAAAGATCTTCCTATTTTAGGAGGTGGATAAGGAGCATGGTTGGAGTTGTATTTTTTCAAATCCTCCCTAAAATTTGTCTAAGGAGGTGATTTAGAGAGCTCATTGTGAAGCTCTAAACCCTATGAGTTATGATAACGATAGTCACCTAAGTCTAAGAGGTTGGTTTAGCTGTAAGGCGCTAAGGGGTTCCCTCAGCTGTACACCGTTAAGTATTGTGAGAGCCACCTACATCCGCCACCCACTTTCAAGATGGATCTTTTTACTTTTGAGTTACACCTCCTGTCATAGACTGATGTCAATGCAGAACTCTTAAGTAACATTGAGATGAGAGAGTAGTAGGTAGATGCAATTTTCAAATTATGTTGTACGTAAAAAGAGAGTAAAACGAGGCATAAACATTCGAATCCAACAGAGAATTTGAATAAAATACCAAACATACAAAACCCAAGAGTGGTGGTTTCAGGCTGGACCTAGGTAGCCTTAAAAAAGTCGAAGATTGCGTGTTATTTGATACCCCAAACCATACGTATAAACAACTAGCAACTAGCAAGTTTATTAAATTATGCCCGAAGATGGTACAAATTCTAACTTCAAAAAATTTAAACCCATCTAATTCCAGGATACAAAACCCAAGAATCACTCCCTGTGCAAAGTGCCAAAAAAGACCGTTCTATCTCCTCTCAAATATATAAAGAGAGCCTTCTTTCCAAGGAAAAAACATAGATATATTTTTAAACTGAGGTGCAACCTCCAACATTCATGCCAAACTAGGCTTACGAAATAACAATGATACAGA